TGATCTGATTAATGACCTCTTGCTATTTACTTTACCCATACACCATGCATGGTAAGTCATCAATAAGTTACATTTTCTACTCAGACGACTTTGCCATCAGCGCACATCGTTATATTAGTAAATTGCGGTGGCGTGCACGTGAAGAGCTGCGATTACGCACAAGTATTTGCGTGTCGTCCACGACAACAGCCCTGGAAAACGTTGTGATATTTGCGCTTCGTGGACAGCAGTGCATGTGGTGCCGGCATAGATATTTGCGATGTCGTGCACATCAGCATCTGTGATAACACCACAGGTATTTGCGTGTCGTGCACGGCGGTATTGTGGTAACAGCATAGATACTTGCGATGTCGTCATCGACAACAGCCCATGAAAATGACTAGATATTTGCGATGTCGTGAACTTCAACATTGTGGTAACACCATAGATATTTGCGATGTCGTCTTGGACGACAGCCCATGAAAACAATTAGATATTTGCGATGTCATGCACGGCAACATTGTGGTAACAGCATAGATACTTGCGATGTCGTGCGTGTCCATAGATGAAGATGTATCTTACATACGATGAAGTATGATAACAGCAAAACCATTAGCGAACCCGTTGATGACACAGATTCGACACAACTCTGTAGTCATCAGCGGTACTGTACACAACAATGAGTCCTTTTATCCCGCTAATGTCGCCGGTTGATCGCTGGTCACAAGAAGGACTCTAATCAATGACTATGAAGAAAAGATAGCATTGCAATAAAACGGCCGTGTTTCCATCCTCCCTGAAGGTAGAAACATTCATCCCTCGACTAGCTCGTCACGTGAGTCCATACACTGCTAATTGGATTTAAATATAGAGTTGAGCATTAGAGCCACTTACACATCAATACGCCATCAGTTCTTCCGCTGGCCACCATTATATGTTTAGCTCATCGTCTTCTTTCTGTCTTCCTATATTCAAATAATAGCTACGTACCGCATGTATTGATCTTTGTGTGACGTCGGCGGGTGACGTCGCTATATAAGGGCAGTGTTGTCGGTGTAGTAGTTGTAGCCCATGTGGCCTGACGAGACAGTTGAGATGTCACACAGGGTCAGATTCAACGTCTTGGAGAAGCCCAACCCGGCGCCCACCGAAGAAGGTACATGTCAGCGTGTTTCACATCCGACCCTCCTGTCAGGACGTTAAGCAGTATATAGCGTGTGGTGGTTCTCTTTCAAGGAGATTATGTTCATCAAAGCGATGGATTGTTATTCTTGTATTGGAATTTGTGTCTCCGACTCAGAGTGGAAAGGTTTTGTGTATTTGCAAATCCTGTTTAATGTCAGTGTATGCTTCTCAAGACACGTTTTCCCCTGGTTTTTCTGTGAGGGACAGGTTTGTTTTACAAAAGTGAAAGGTGATTTTTAAACTCTGTTGGAAATCACAGGAAGTCACGTGACCCCCTTCAAATTCACCTGCTGGTGTCAAACGTGACACAGTCCCACCTGTGACCTTTGCAAATGCATTGACCTCGGGATCATGTGATGCATGTTCTGCACTTTTAAAAATACCAGGCGACGACGGAAAAATATGTTTTTTTTCCCCGGTCGGTATGCTAATATGAGTCAAATTAGTGTCCTCTTCATATAGTATCTTTGCCTTCTTCTCTTGTATGGTGGGATATGATGATGGTAATCGGCTCCGTTGATATGACAACCTGGCCAATCAAGGACAATCTGGATGACAGGTGGTGTGGTAGCCAGGCAATTCCGGCGTTATGTATTGGACATGGAGCCCGTTATCGGCTTGTTACCGGCTGTAGTGGATCTTGGGTTGATTCGGTGTATTATTGAATTATCCTTGAGGTCGGAGGGATAATTGCTAGGACACAGGTAGGAATTATGATTGCTATGTAAGGACACAGGTAGGAATTATGATTGCTTTGTTAGGACTGAGGTCGGAGGAACGATTGCGCTCAACGGACTCAGGTAGGAAAGACGACTGAACTATAAGGACTGAGGTCGGACTGACGGTTGGACTATAAGGACTTAGGTCGGACTGACGGTTGCACAATAAGGACTGAGGTCGGACTGACGGTTGCACAATAAGGACTGAGGTCGGACTGACGGTTGCACAATAAGGACAGGTCGGACTGACGATTGATGTATAAGGACTGAGGTCGGACTTACGGTTGCACAATAAGGACTGAGGTCGGACTGACGGTTGCTGTTGGAGTGACTGAAAGGAACCAGGACGAGCAGCTCCATATTGGGGTTTGTGTGAACCATGTGTGTAGAACTTGTCTTTTCAGCCTCAGTTACTCTCAAGTGGTCAGGTCGGTCAATACTGAGTTAAAGTAACACTCCTGTATAAAATGTTTCCTGTCAACTATATTACTCGACGTGTGTGGACATAACTCGTGGTGTTTAGTGATTGAAATCCTGGAGAGGTTGATCTGGAGTAGGCACTAGCAAAGCTTTCAGAAGCTTTCAGAAGCTGTCTAAAATGACATCATCGTGTACTGGTGGATGTTTCAGCCCATAATACCGCAATGCCCGGAGAGAGGCTTGTCAATCGTGGCAGGGCGTGAAGGAAGATTGCATCTCTCAAATCATTGCTGATATCGACGTCTTTGTGGTTGTCCTTGATCACACGCCTGTCGAACGCCGAGTGAACAGTCTTACCTTGCTGTTGACAGTAGCGTCCGGTGCTATATACCACCTTCAATCACAAACCTCAAACTGTACCCTGTCACGTATGTACTTCTAATGATGTTTGGGGCGGTGGAGTAGCCTAGTGTTTAAAGCGTTGGCTCGTCACGCCGAAGATCCGGGTTCGAATCCCCACATGGGTACAATGTGTGAAGCCCATTTCTGGTGTCCCCCGCCGTGATATTGCTGTAATATTGCTAACAGCGGCGTAAAACCAAACTCAGTCAGTCTGATGATGTTTGAGTCAACACCTCCCAATTGACATAGCAAGATGGATAGCTATTAATACCACCTATACCACTGCAGGTCCGCAGTAAGCTTTTTTGAACAGTATTGTAGTATTGAAGTACTAGCGTTCAGTAAAAGTGCTCCTACTCCATCTGACCACGATATGCCTTGAAGCTATAGTCGACCGTACTAATACACGACTAATACCAGAGAATAATTATGTGTCTCAATACTGGAGCCATGACCCCGCTCACCTCTTTATTTAGCGATACCGTTTCTTTTATAACATGTCCCTCGCTATTACGGGATATTCATCCCGGTTTGTACCTGACATTTGCTTGTACGCCATATACATTCCATCTGTAATACACCATTCGGTTTGAGGCATATTCCATGCCTCACGTTCCCCCCTCGCTATTACGCCCACCCCCTTCCCTCTTGCATGTAGCACGTGATTCCCAATATGTTCTTAAGAGCGGATCAATCACCACAGATAATTCCAGCGATCACGATTTCTCGGAGTTGTTATTTTTGCCGATTCCATTTTAGTGAATCGATTTCGTTTGTTCGGGGGTTCTGTATCGTGTGTGATATTGATATGATTGAGGAGACGTTAAGCACGGTACACTCCCACACAGTTAGGGGCTCCACGGGTTATTATCACCATGTGTACTGACCATTTGGAGACCTTGCAAGCTAATGTATTAACATCTCTACCGTATATACGTTGATCATAATGCAGAATCAATTATAAATATGTGGTGAGATCATTTAGAAGTTCACGATTGGCGTGTACGGCATACGACCCAGTGACGTCAATGACAACGGTGTTTCACCACGTGTTCATCTGCGTTATGCTGGTGTGTAAACGTGCTTCTTCGACCACGTGTTCCGTTGAAAAAGTATTCTAAATTTGTGTAACACTATGGAAACAGAAACGCAGGCTCAAAACATCATGTCAGTTGACATTGAGACAATGAGCAATACGTCACGTAACGCCACAATACGACAGGAAACATTTATTTGCAATACTTCACGCTCTTTTGTTTCGTATGATATCAGTGTATTATAAATGTAAGCTTGGAAAAAAACGAAAATCTTTGTCGATGGTCTCGTTTGTAATTCAAATATTGATCCTGTAAATTCATTGCATCCTAAAGATATTTACCATGAGTTGAGTTCAGTGAACCAGTGTTAAGTCAAAAGTCACTGTGAGAGAGCTGTTTTTTCTGAAAGTTACATGTATAGCATCTGGACGGTCTGGTTGGGACGATGTACGGCTGGTAATCATCTCCACTTTGAGCAGATGTTACGTGCATGTTCTTAATAAGGTCCATAATGGCTAAGAAAAACCGACACAACAGATGAGCCCTACACATAAACCACGTCACGGTGGCGTACACGACCTTCATGACATTGATGTTAAGGGGAATTTGCTGTCGAAGATTACAAAATTGAAGCTATTGCTATCAGTCTTACCTCTCTGACGTCATGGTATTCTCGGAATATAGCAATTCGGCTGTGACTATATCCGACTTTGTAACTTTGTAAATTAGAGGATCACGCAATAGTTTCTTAAGAATCTTCCATGATCAGAAAGATACGAAGTTTGTTTGATATTCTAATCAATAAACGTTATACTTCTTAGTGCCGAAGGGAATTTCCTGTTCTTTGATATTCTTCAGTAAAGTTTCGTTAACAAAAGGAATTTCTGATAAATGAAGAATGGTCTTGTAGACAGTGTTCTTTGCCGTAGGATTTCATCGATCTCTTTACATGTGCGAGCTTTAGAGGCGAAGTCACGTGGTGTTCTATATTTGCATCTTTGCATTGGTACATCAATGCAAATATATGGCTTCCCTCTCGCAGAACCATCTTTTGAACTTTTAAATTGAGTGTAAATAGAAGTAATGCAAACACGCATCGATTTTATTCAAGTTCCAGGTAAATAGGTAATAACAACTAATAACAATGTTGGCTTTGACTCTGTAAGATTTTCTTTCTGTGCATTTGAGAGTCGTATTTTGATCATTTGCAATGGTTTGGTGACCTACCAAGTATAAACTCTTTGCATTTCTTTTACAGAACTCAAACAAGCTTTTGACCTGTTTGACAAGAACAACGATGGCAAGATATCCTGTGAGGAGCTTGGATGTGTACTCAGGTCTCTCGGTCACGATTATACGCAACCGGAAGTAGAAGAGATGATCAAAAATGCCGATAAAAATGGTGAGCAGGAACGAAACACATCAACAACCAAGCTGGTGATAATTCTTCGGAAACATACCATTAGCATTAACTATTTCAGTAAAGGTAATTCTAGGCAATGCTGTTCCACTTTCAGATGACGCATTGGCAGCGAAGAAAGTGTATTAATGTCATGCTGACCACCAAACTACACGAGCTGGCTCGTTATCTAACAAATGCGCGTGAATTAACTGAAACCATCATAAGGATTTGTTTTAAAGGCTCTTTTACAACGTTATCAGTTCCATCAAAGGAAACTGTGTTATTTTCAAAGTTCTATTTTTATTCCAAATCCATGTGTTTGAATATGAACTATTCCTGGGTTGGATGAAGCGGCTTGGTCCACCGAAGGGAGAGCCGTATCAATAATTAAATCCTATTCTAAAAGCGTTCTAGTCTTCGTCTGTGTGAATAGCATTGGCCTGTCCGAACCAGCGCTTCCAGCCATTTACAATCACTAGACGGGATTACTTTGGCTTGCGAAGTAATCTCTCCTCGTGTGAAACTCACCTTGCACGGTCACGTAACCTGCCGCGCTAAAAGGGACGGGACTGCATTAAGTCAGCTGATAGTCAGATCGGAGCGAAACGGTTCGTGAGGTGTTACTGTCGGAATCACAGTTAAAACCGCCGAGTCAACACTTATCTTTTAAGATGTGGTAAACACAGACTGTACTTTTAGATCTACTCGTACAGATATCTAAAGACCAATTCAGGGGATTGAACCAAAAGCCCTAGTTAATTTTACAAACAATTTATTTATGCTGAAATAGTTATGCAAACTACTCTGCAGTATAGTGCAGTGCTCACAAGACATGTCAGATTTGTTGCAATTAGGGTTTGGACAGGATACCCGGGACGGGTGGGTAATGAGTTAAACCCGGGCACAGGGGCTTGTAACGCTAAAAACTGCCATCAAGGTGTATACTGTCACTGACGGGGTCTTAGTACTATATAAAAGGAAAGGGATGTAACGAGGTCAACACACCAAGTACGTTTCAGGGTGAATTCAACAATGCTCACTGTATTTATCCCATTTAAAGTATGCACACATTTCAAGCCAATAGATTTACCTACAACATGAGACATACAGCACACAAATCGAAGCAGTACTTTGGGAGCTCGAAAAATCGTCATTTCTCGATTCCGAGCCAAACTCCCTGCTCAGAATTTGTAGCGGTAACTCGCCCATTTTCTTGTTTATTTCACAGTATACACAAAACATGTTGAACTGATGGCGCCTGTCAGCGCGCTTGTCGCCATTCTTTCGGAGACACTTACATCTCACTGTCATAATGAGTTTAGGTACATTTATTCATCGCAAACAGAATTGTGTCGTGCCCGTTCGCCATTGACGACATTGGCCTTAACCTGCCCAGCACTGAAAAGAGTCAAAGTTGATGGGACATGATTTATTTTTAGCCAATGACCTCCCTTGCTCTTTTAAGTGCGGGACAGGTTAAGGCCAAGGTCGTCAATGACCTTGATGGCAGTATTTAGCGTTACAAGCCCCTGTGGACCCGGGTCCGTTATGATCATGTGACCAACAGATTAAACAGTGTAATATGTTATTCTTTCATGATGAAAAGGTTGTATTGTCTTTGAAGATTTCGACATAACTTCTTTTTATAAAATAATACATGGTAGTTAACATATTGAAAAACTCGATCTTTTAGCCTCCGAACTGAAGAATGTATTACCATTTCTTACAAATTTGTTGTCAGGAATTAACATAACGGGTATCCGGGTAATAGGGGGTGGGATATCCGGGTAGAAAATGTGGACCCGTCCCAGCCCTAGTTGCAATACCCATCGAACCATGACGAATTTGTTGCAATACCCTCAAGCCATCACACATTTGTTGCAATACCCTCAAGCCATCACACATTTGTTGCAATACCATCAAGCCATCACACATTTGTTGCAATACCCTCAAGCCATCACACATTTGTTGCAATACCCTCAAGCCATCACACATTTGTTGCAATACCCTCAAGCCACCACACATTTGTTGCAATACCCTCAAGCCATCACACATTTGTTGCAATACCCTCAAGCCATCACACATTTGTTGCAATATCCTCAAGCCATCACACATTTGTTGCAATACCCTCAAGCCCTCTGTCATATGAAAATGATCAGATATTCTTCGAGTCCTTTTGAGTAGTATAAAATCCTGGGGAAGCTTCTATCATTATGTTATCCGAACTTCTCCAGTAACCAAGCAGCATTAATTTGTTAGTAACATACCCTTGTTATCTGTACCAGATGTACACCTCTTAAAGCTCAGTTGTGGCATGTGTGTTCATCAGTGATACTACCTTACTTCATTGGACTCGCACGTGCAAACACGTATAAGGTCACGTGGTCGGCGGTCACGTGGGTACGTCAGCTGATGATGCATGTACCATGTTGTGTTCATTTAACACTATGTTCATCAGAGACGTGTGGCGCACAGTTAATACACGGCAAAAATTAGATGAACAGATGTTTCAGTGTATATAAACACATGTTTTGTATCCCCATAGTCATGAGTAAATAGAAGTTACGGTGAACTCACTGACGATATATATTAATGCTTACCATCAAAGATGTCGGTTAATGTTTTCACCTTTCGTACAGTGAACAATATGTCGTACATTGTTTGGTGAGACTAATATTGATTTGTTGAATTTTATGTATTTAGCAAAAGTATGTTGAGAAGGACAACTGGTTGCTTTCATAGAAATATTTACTCGAGTGTAAGTGCTAAACACAAAAATAATAGAAATATATCTAATTAGCATGTCATTATTTCCAGAAAACGGCTTTGTAGAATACGACGAATTCCTTATCTTAATGAAGCGCTGGGCGGCCAACCACGCCGCTCGTGCAGAAGCAGAGGCAACGGAGGCGGAGGAGAAGACGAAGGAGACGTTTAAAGTGTTCGACATGGACGGTAACGGCTACATCGACAAACACGAACTGCGGTACGTCATGCGACGTCTCGGCGAGAACCTTGAGGAAGAGGACGTGAAGGCCATGTTCCAGCTAGCCGACCTGAATGGCGATGGCTTAATAGATTTCGAAGGTGGGCAATAACACACAGAAGCAATACTTTCTTGGCTTGTTTGTTGGTTTGTTGGTTTGTCTGTTTGTTTGTTTGAACTAGACAATCCAGTGAATCCCGTTAGCCGAAGCGTGGGTTGTTGAAGCCAATTCTAACCAGGACCATCAGGGTCAATATTAACACTTAAATCATAATTAGATGAAAACGTTTGTTCATCCCGCCGAGAAGCCGGGTTCGAATCCCTGTTTGGTACAGTGTATGATACTATTTCTGGTGTCAACATGTATGAATATAGCTAAAATTAGATGATAATGTTTATGATTTCAGTTGTGTTAAAATGAGCTGTACAGCTCATGTACATAGATACAGTGTATGTGTATACAAGACCACGTCAGGCCCTGTTACATGCCCATGTTTAGCCGATGTAAATGATCACATTAAGCCAGTGTACATGGCCAAGTTAAGCCGATGTGAATGATTATATTAAGCCAGTGTACGTGACCAAGTTAAGCCGAAGCACATGATCACAGTGCTCATATGATATCCGTATATGGGACAAAACTAGGTATGAGGACATTAGTTTGCGTCTTCTTGCAGTGGGCGTCAATGAGATATTTAGCCAGTGAAGAATTCTCTGAACTTTTGTGTTAATAGTTGATATGAAAGGTCGGATTGTACTCCTCTCTTTCCACACATATTACTACACTTGATCATTGAAGACAACAGACATGCTGCGCGTGATGAAAGTTACATGAAATAGATTTCCTGAGCTGGTTATATTTCGTGCGAATTTGCCATTTCCCTTGTATCGAACTCATACATAACCCTGCATGGGTACTCAACCAGATACCACATGATGTTGCTTTATGGTTTTAGAAAGGTTAGCAAACATAATACCGTTTGCAGAAACAGTAAACTCGCCCAAGGTCGACAAACAATGCTTCCCGGATCTTCTTTCAACTTTCTGTGTAAATTGGGGTAGCTTGTTCTCAGCAGCGAGACTCAATCTTCAATTTGAGTTTTCTTTCCTTGAAGCATCGATGAAAAACAACGATTGATTACAAACGCAAGCTGAGGACAGCCCATGATGGAGCTGCTGTGTTTGCTTGTTAAGGGCATGTGGTCTGTAGGTTGCCACCATTGTCACATATCCGGCGGATAGGGAGAAGCTTGGAGAATCATAGTATCTCATGCGATTGTCTAATGACAATGATCATTGCATTAGCCACAGTAATTTGTTTTGTGGTTTAGGCTACTAAACTGTGTTTTTACCCAAATTGCATTTCCGTTAGAACATGGCCAGAATGTGGTTACGCTACCGCATCAAGTCTTGAAGATTAACAACTGAAATTTATGTCTGCTTGTTTACATCTAGATGGGGGCGGTGGGGTAGCCTAGTGGTTAAAGCGTTCGCTCGTCACACCTTCTGGTGTCCCACGCCGTGATATTGCTAGAACAGTGCTAAAAGCGGCGTAAAACCAAACTCACTCACGACATCGAGATAGGGGTGGTAGTCACGGATGGCCCAGTACGCTGTGCTGGCTTCGGTTCCTACGCCAGAAACCTAATTTGTGGGTTTGAATCCCGGTCCGCCGTCATACAACTGGGACATTGTTCAAAGCGGCTCTGAACCACTAATGTGGTGCATACTGACTGCAACTGATCCAGTGAGACCAAATATTCGTTTACCGAAGATGGGGAAAATGCAACGCCTATCCCCAAAGTATCTTTGCAATGTCATTCGCACATTAAGCTAAAGCTTTGTCGGCAACATCCCACTTCTCTTGGGAAAGGAATAAACGAGCAATGACACTCCTATTTCCTCCCTATCAAACTCTGACACCGTGATATGACCGAGACATTAATTAGGTAACGTTTATTACAATTCACTTTAGAAACGTGAGCATTTTGATATTAAAAATACTAAGCGCATTCAACACGTGGTGACCCCGTACCACCAATCTGCATTATTAAGTGTAAGTAACAGAAGCCATTGCACATTCATTAGTCGTCTCTGCTGAATGCAGTCAGTCATACCAACCCGAATATATCTAGCATGTAATTAGGTGAGGTGAGGTGAAATTGGGTTTAACGTCGTTATTGAGAATATTTCGCTCATATGACGACGTGCATGCGTGTGTACGTGTATGTGCGGCTGCTTGTACTAGCCCAGACTTAAGCTGGTTTTATAGTGCTAGCCCACTGAGATACCATGCCGCAGTGAAGCATGAATACCCCACTCAGACACATTATACTGACTCCGAGCCGACCAGTCCTTGTTGTACCCATTAATGCCGAGCGCCAGGCAGGGACCAACAAGTACCATATTTTAACGTCTTTAGGTATGACGCGGTCGGGGATCGAACCCGCGACCTTCCGCTCTCCGGGCGGACGCTCTAACCACTACACCACGGAGGCGGCCAGCATGTAATTAGGAATCACTGTCGAATGTATCTAGCATGTAGTTAGGAATCACTGTCGAATGTATCTAGCATGAAGTTAGGAATCACTGTCGAATGTATCTAGCATGTAGTTAGGAATCACTGTCGAATATATCTAGCATATAGTTAGGAATCACTGTCGAATATATCTAGCATGTAACTAGGAACCACTGTCGAGCATGTATCTGTCGAATGTATCAGCATGAAGTTAGGAATCACTGTCGAATATATCTAGCATGTAGTTAGGAATCACTGTCGAATGTATCTAGCATGTAGTTAGGAATCACTGTCGAATGTATCTAGCATGTAACTAGGAACCACTGTCGAATGTATCTAGCATGAAGTTAGGAATCACTGTCGAATATATCTAGCATGTAGTTAGGAATCACTGTCGAATGTATCTAGCATGTAGTTAGGAATCACTGTCGAATGTAGGAACCACTGTCGAATGTATCTGAAGTTAGGAATCAGTCGAATATGCATGTAGTTAGGAATCACTGTCGAATGTCGAATGTATCTGTAGTTAGGAATCACTGTCGAATGTATCTAGCATGTAACTAGGAATCACTGTCGAATATATCTAGCATGTAGTTAGGAATCACTGTCGAATGTATCTAGCATGTAGTTAGGAATCACTGTCGAATGTATCTAGCATGTAGTTAGGAATCACTGTCGAATATATCTAGCATGTAACTAGGAACCACTGTCGAATGTATCTAGCATGAAGTTAGGAATCACTGTCGAAAAGTCCTAAAATCTGGTGTCCGAGACAAGATGGCCTTATTCTGCCCCACAGATGGCATCCATCACAAATACACGCAAAGGCAATGAAAGTTGAAACTGATCGGTTGATTGTTTCAGCTAATACGTCGACAGGTGATCAAACCTCCCGTATTATGGCAGCAGACTCTCCCCTCAAGTTCCAATGAACCAAAATGTCAGTTTGATGTCTGTTACTTTCACGCGGTAGATTTCCCTGTTAGCGAAGTAAACGGAGATATAAAGAAGACCACTTCTTAACGCCCACTCCCAACCTATTGTGTTTTGATCATTTTTTACCGCCAATCCACAGGGGTCCACTTATCTGAAGCCAGTCTGCTCCTTTTCCCCAAATGACGTACATAATGAAAAAAGTGATCAAAGTTGACCTTCTAAGGCCAAGTTTCCAAGAAGACACACAACCACAAGCCAGCCATACCAATTTAGCACTTGATTCTGGAGAGAACGCGCTGATGTCAACTTCTTTATTTATTAGGACGACACATTGTTTCGAGTTGTATCCTTACTTTTTCCAGTGAATGATGAAAGTGTTATCAAGTGTGTCATTTTGAACACGCTTTTAACGAACTGTTGAATATTTCGAACTTTTTTAAAACAAACACATGTCGGCTGTCATCACACATTGTACCAACGTATAGATTCGAAATCGTGTAATCAGCTTGAAGTAGCCAACGGTTTAACAGCAAGGCTATCCCGTCTCAATGACACACAGACGTCTCACCTTTACATGACAAGTCATATTCGTGTTGTGCATTTTATAATTTCCACCTCCCTAATATTTGACTATATTCCAACAGTACCACTTGTTTTCATTATTGCAAGAAAGTCGTGACGCTTGTAATTGAGTTCTTCAACCGGCATTACGAGAAAATGAGCTCCTCAAGTTCGTTTTAGTACACATGAAGCGGTTTAAAACATGGCATTTCACTCTTTGAATGGTTGAATTAGGGTTTTGTAGGCTGCATACGATTAACTCACCCCATTAACCACGTTACGATTATAGTTTCTGGAATCTCATTCACACACAAGAAGAACGATGCAAGTGGAATTTAAGAATGCAAACGTTGAGATATTTGACGAGGTGTTTTGAACATAGATTTTTGTGTTTGCCGGGGAGTAACGCATTCCTAGGAAGTCATGGTCTGTTGCCATCTTTGGAAACAAGATCGTGACGAGCTAACACGCTGCCTGCTAGGCTACATCATAAACCATAAACATGTTGCAACATGTACTTTATTTTATTAGAAAACTGGTGGCGGTGGGGTAGCCTAGTGGTTAAAACGTCGGCTCGTCATGCCGACGACCCAGATTTGATTCCCCACATGGGTACATTGTGTGAAGCCCATTTCTGGTGCCCCCCACTGAATTGCAGAAATATTGCTAAAAGCGACGTAAAACCATACCCACTCACTCACTCAGTTAGCGAACTCTGAAGTCTAGTGGTCAAAGGTGAAATTCCTTGAGGGGTCTGCGTTCCTTACATGGGTCAGAAACCTTTTGCCATGTTTCGATTCTCTGCCATGATTATGTTCCTGGCTTTGCGAACAGCATACCTGTCATCCAAGTGGCATACCTGTCATCTTACCACATCACTTCGGACCTCCCTCCAATATGACAGAACATAAGTACACTTATTAAACGATGTTAAACCCAGCTCACTCACTCGCTTTTTTGAATTGATGAAAATCATGTAATAACGTATTTGTTTTACTTTTTTCAGAATTTTCCAAACTAATGGGTGGCCTCAGTTTCCCTTTGTTTCCAAAGGAGGCCGGTTCAGGGGAGGCAACTGCACATAGCTCAAGTCAAGACAGTCAAAAGAAGAAGAAATGAAATGTTCCTTTGAAGAAACATTTGAGTGTTTTCGGTTCTTTTCCCTTGTCCCGCCAAATCTTGAGATGATGTGATACCTTGAAGACTTCCTTCTTAGGCAATAAACAGAGACCACTGGTTCTCTTCTGGGACAAGGTCGAGGTTAAGGAAGAAGGTCAAGGTCATTGGGCCCCTTGTGCACAAGAAACAAGGTCACAATTCACATTCCATCTAACGTATGTTGTTCTCTGTCAAGCACAAAGGATTCACTATTTAGCAAATCACCTTTTATATATAGTCGGATAACACTTTCACTGAAGAGATTCCAGAAAGGAATATTTATATTGTTTCCGGGATTGTTGTCTATGTTAAAGCGACAGAGGATATATTTACCAATGACTCACGGAGCTAGATCTTCCTGCAACGTCAGTGCAGCTATAACAAGATGTCCCAGAACTCCTTATTGCAAATGGTGAATATTTCATATCCGGTATCATGGCGCCGTCAGTTGATGACGGCCATCGGGGGATATGTACCGGTTTATGCTGGTTGACGATTCGACCAGAGTGGGCGGAAGGAGCTTGTGGAGTGGCCACGGCAAGAACATTCTACCGCCTTGTGTTGAGGACGGAAGAGACGGATATGTTTACACATGTTTGGGTCCCTTATCGTTCCACAGCTTCGTGAGGGCTCTGGACAGACGGACGGATATTGTATCCATTGTGATAGAACGTGTTTTCTTTCTCGCCTCGTGTTCACAATTTTGTAACTATACTTTTTTTAGCAATCTCGTACTTTGAATGGTTGTTTTGCACATTTAAGAAGAGTGATCATATTGTTTGTTATCATGATGAATTCCCCGTCCCCTCCTCCCCTCCTCCCCCAGAGTAAATATTATTTATTATTTATGATTTCGTACATACAGTATGTTCAACCTCTTTATAATGAGTGGCAACGTTTATGAAATGATGTTATTATCATGAGAGTTTGTGCAGATTTTGCAACCCAACTCCGCCTTTCCTCAGAACCTGTATGAAATATGAAATACTCACTTTGTTCATCATTACTAATCCTACAGTGACCTTCACCTTACCAGACTGTAGGTTTGATGATAGTATACACCATGACGTTCACCTCTACCGACCAGAGCGGTACGAGGATCAGAAGGGTGTGTGTTTGTCACACCCGGGTAGAATTGCCTTGGATGCATCCACCGATCAATCGTGTCCGTGGTACTTAGGTCATATATTGAAACCTGTATCATGCTCTTTGAAACCATTTAGTAATGACTTTGATATTTTTTACGGAAGTATAAATGTGAAAACCGGAGTACACACCAGGTAAATCTGTACAAATGTTTACGCAGTGTGCACACATACATTTCCAACTCATCAACCCGGAATCAACCGTAGGCCATTCTTATTCGTTCCGTCAATCAAGCATGCACTGCCAGTTCTGTTATTAGCCAATCTGGAAACAGTTGCCTTGATTGTTAGCGCTATGAGCAGTTTGGCGCTATATAAATGGACACATTATTATTATTATTATATAAACAGTTGTCTGCTAGTGGGCGTGGCCTGAAATATATTTTTCGGTTTGTGGCAAGACATGTTACCCAGATAGCAAATCAAATGCCTCAGAACCGCTGGCAATGTATTTTGTACCCCACAGAGAAGTTTGATTATTTCATCACTTGATGTCGGTCGCCCTTTGTGAGAAAATATACCTAAGCGATAATTTACTCTGGATACGTTTCACGTCGCCGATATTGCCACATATGTCATATCCACTACCTCTTTACTACTTTCATGCATTTAAGATTAAGATGCGTAACGAAATTTCACATATAACTGCAGCAATTCTAGCTAATGGTTACCAAGACGATACGCCATGTTGAAGTTTGAGTTGAGTAACACGTGCTACCGTTTCTCCATAAAGACGTTAAGTTGACGAGGAACTTCTTTAACCACGCGTTTAGACACCATCTTCCAGTAGCTGCTTGAAGTCAGTACTTACGATCACGTCACCCTGGAAACCGCCAGTCCAGTGTTTTCTTTCATCAAGCTTCATCCCTACCCTCATCCCAACCAAAGACCACATCCTACCGCGCCCAACTTCAATCAGCAACATACTTGTGGAAAACTCAGTGTCTAGCGTACAATACAACACTGAAAGCATTTCTCTGTGAAAGATAAGCACATTTATATACCCAGAATGCCAATCTCTACGTGCGAGAAGTATACTCGGACGTTAAAGAACATCCGATTCTTTCTTACGTTACGTCAAAGTAATATTTAAAAATCCGATGTGCTTTGACGTCTTTTGAGTAGAAGGTAAACAACACCACATTCGGTCATTTCTATTTAGTGATACGACAGAAACTATGGGATTTGGACAACAGGGTTAAATATTAGCTTCTGACTAAAGTGGTTATGGGATAATGAATGTGTATGTTTCCATGCAGTATTAACCCCGGACGGACAGCTTGTCAGAATGGTTCTTAAAGGCGGATTGCTTTCTTGTGTATTGTCCATGGCAGGTTAACTAAGACAACTAGAACTGGCCTTATTGAGTATTTACAGTGGTACTTGTACGGTAACCGTACCCTGAGAACAGAGGAACCAGCAGTATTAAGAGGTTGAATATATGTCGATGCACAACCTGGGTCATATCCTACACCTATCGATCTCTTTCGTGATATCTCACCCTGTAAATATGTACATATGTCGTTGTCCAAATAAAAGTTACATTTCCTGAGCTACCAACCTGTCATAAGTGAGTTTGGTTATTTTTTAACATAAATAGCATATGTTCTATTCAACACACGGGACACGGATGGCTCAGTCCCCCAATTAGCCGTGCTGGGGGTGCAAGAAATTGGGGATTCGAATCCCAGTTTCGTTTCATCGTTTGTCAGCACGATGTTCGTGTGTTTCACTCAAATGATAATGCCTCCTACCACTTTCATGTTGTTTCATCGAATCACACGTCACACTCGACATACAGGGAACTAGCAGTATCGTAAAAGAAAACGATATCGATTAATTGAATATGTTGACCCCGACCTACTATCAATATTGTGTGCACGCAGCTATCAGGTCCAACATGTTCAGATTTAGAGGTGGTGGTGTTATTTCATGGCAGTCTAGTGGATAAAGCGTCTGCCCTGAGAACTCATGGTGGATGGTTCGATTCCCGGCGGCGTCAGTCCAAAAGACGCGGACAGAAACTAATGACATCATGCGACAGTCCGATTCTTGTTGTGGAACGGATAGTTTTCATCCTTGATGAAATGGGCATTTTAGACTTCTCAACATAATACCAAAATAATGCATCCGTATCGGAAGCTTTGGCTTCATTATCTGTGGGATGGTAATGCCAGGCCTTGTTTTAAAACAAGTAATCACACTTTTACGAATGTAGCACATATCCGAAAATGGGTGGTGATTAATTTAATGTCATATTTCTTAGATCAAGTACATATATTACGCAGTTGGATCATAAACTATTGGTATTAAGCATGTTTCTGGCGTTAACGTGGGTTTAACAGTAATCTAGTTCATCACGACGCGTCAGGATGTGGGAGGAAGGCCCATTAAGTCTTGGACGTCTACCACTTTACTGATACTCCGAACAATGACTGGGGGAAATTCACATTTGAAAGTACTGAGACAGGGTGATCAAATATAGTACAACGTTGGGAGATCGCCCTCCCGCTGTCTACACAGTGCGTGGTGTCAGACCAACACGAAGCCCCACCCCCACCCCACCCTGTACATAGTAGATGGATATATCCGTCTCATTTAACGTCTAAACGCGTGATATACACAGACGCCGTCCGACCACCCGTCCCTGCCAACACTTCACCCTTCCCCGTCTTCAGTGAGACAAACCGAGCACCACTTTTCCCCGTGCACACAATGTAGGCCTCAACAAACCTACACGACCCCCTCCCAGTTTTCACAACACGTCACTATCCACGTCCACGCGAAGTACACTGAGGCAAACCAACACGTCACTATCCACGTCTACACGAAGTACACTGAGACAAACCAACACGTCACTATCCACGTCTACACGAAGTAGACTGAGACAAACCAACACGTCACCATCCATGTCCACGCGAAGTAGACTGAGACAAACCAACACGTCACCATCCACGTCCACGCTGAGACAAAACCAACACGAAAGTAGACTGAGACAAACCAACGCAACACGTCACACACATACACACACACACACACCGTCTACACAAAGTAGACTGAGTCAAACCAACACTTCACCCTTCCCCGTCTACACAAAGTAGACTGAGACAAAGCAACACGTATGAGTCAAACCCCAAAGCAACACGTAACCATCCCTCGTCTACACAAAATATACTGAGTCAAACCAACATGTCACCTTCCCCCGCCTACACAGAGTAGACTGAGTCAAACCAACACGTCACCATCCACGTCTACACAAAGTAGACTGAGTCAAACCAACACGTCACCATCCATGTCCACGCGAAGTAGACTGAGACAATACAACACGTCACACACACATACACACACACACACACACACACACACACACACACACACACACCGTCTACACAAAGTAGACTTAGTCAAACCAACACATAACCATCCCTCGTCTACACAAAGTAGACTGAGACAAACCAACACGTCACCCTCCCCCACCTACACAAAGTAGACTGAGTCAAACCAACACGTCACCCTCCCCCGTCTACACAAAGTAGACTAGTTCAAACCAACACGTCACCCTCTCCCTCTACACAAAGTAGACTCAGTCAAACCAACACGTCACCCTCCCCCGGTCAACACAAAGTAGACTGAGTCAAATCAACACGTCACCCTCCCCCGGTCAACACAAAGTAGACGAGAGTCAAACCCCAAACCAACACGTCACCCCCCACCCCGTCTACACAAAGTAGACGAGTCAAACCCCAAACCAACACGTCACCCTCCCCCCGTCTACACAAAGTAGACGAGTCAAACCCCAAACCAACACGTCACCCTCCCCCGTCTACACAAAGTAGACTGAGTCAAATCAACACGTCACCCTCCCCCGGTCAACACAAAGTAGACGAGTCAAACCCCAAACCAACACGTAACCATCCCTCGTCTACATAAAGTAGACTGAGTCAAACCAATACGTCACCCTCCCCGTATCTACAGTGTAGTGTCCGCCCGGAGAGCGGAAGGTCGCGGGTTCGATCCCCGGTCGCGTCATACCAAAAGACGTTAAAATATGGTACTTGTTGGTCCCTGCCTGGCGCTCGGCATAAATGGGTACAACAAGGACTGGTCGGCTCGGAGTCAGTATAATGTGTCTGAGTGGGGTATTCATGCTTCACTGCGGCATGGTATCTCAGTGGGCTAGCACTATAAAACCAGCTTAACTCTGGGCTAGTACAAGCAGCCGCACATACACATACACACGCATGCACGTCGTCATATGATCGAAATATTCTCAAGCACGACGTTAAACCCAATTTCACCTCACCTCACCTACAGTGTAGTGTGAGAAATTTCAAAACACCACCTCCCCAATCTTCAGTGTAGACTGAGATGGCCCAATATGTCTCCCTCCCCCGTCTTCAGTATAGACTGGGATAGCCCAATATGTCTCCCTCCCCCGTCTTCAGTGTAGACTGAGATGGCCCAATATGTCGCCCTCCCCCGTCTTCAGTGTAGACTGAGATGGCCCAATATGTCTCCCTCCCCCGTCTTCAGTGTAGACTGAGATGGCCCAATATGTCTCCCTCCCCCGTCTTCAGTGTAGACTGAGATGGCCCAATATGTCTCCCTCCCCCGTCTACAGTGTAGACTGAGATGGCCCAATATGTCTCCCTCCCCGTCTACAGTGTAGACTGAGATGGCCCCTCCCCCCGTCTATGTCTCCATCCCCTCCCCCTGTCTTCAGTGTAGACTGAGATGGCCCAATATGTCTCCCTCCCCCGTGTACAGTGTAGACTGAGATGGCCCAATATGTCTCCCTCCCCGTCTACAGTGTAGACTGAGATGGCCCAATATGTCTCCCTCCCCGTCTTCAGTGTAGACTGAGATGGCCCAATATGTCTCCCTCCCCCGTCTTCAGTGTAGACTGAGATGGCCGAATATGTCTCCCTCCCACGTCTTCAGTGTAGACTGAGACGCCCAATATGTCTTGCTCCCCCGTCTACAGTGTAGACTGAGACGCCCAATATGTCTCCCTACCCCGTCTACAGTCTAAACTGAGACGCCCAATATGTCTCCCTCCCCCGTCTTCAGTGTAGACTGAGACGGCCCAATATGTCTCCCTCCCCCGTCTTCAGTGTAGACTGAGACGCCCAATATGTCTCCCTCCCCCGTCTACAGTGTAGACTGAGATGGCCCAATATGTCTCCCTCCCCCGTCTACAGTGTAGACTGAGATGGCCCAATATGTCTCCCTCCCCCGTCTACAGTGTAGACTGAGATGGCCCAATATGTCTCCCTCCCCCGTCTTCAGTGTAGACTGAGATGGCCCAATATGTCTCCCTCCCACGTCTACAGTCTAGACTGAGACGCCCAATATGTCTCCCTCCCCCGTCTACAGTGTAGACTGAGATGGCCCAATATGTCTCCCTCCCCCTTCTTCAGTGTAGACTGAGATGGCCCAATATGTCGCCCTCCCCCGTTTACAGTGTGGACTGAGATGGCCCAATATGTCTCCCTCCCCCGTCTTCAGTGTAGACTGAGATGGCCCAATATGTCTCCCTCCCCCGTCTTCAGTGTAGACTGAGATGGCCCAATATGTCTCCCTCCCCCGTGTACAGTGTGGACTGAGATGGCCCAATATGTCTCCCTCCCCCGTGTACAGTGTAGACTGAGATGGCCCAATATGTCTCCCTCCCCCGTCTTCAGTGTAAACTGAGATGGTCCAATATGTCTCCCTCCCCCGTCTTCAGTGTAGACTGAGATGGCCCAATATGTCTCCCTCCCCCGTCTTCAGTGTAAACTGAGATGGTCCAATATGTCTCCCTCCCCCGTCTTCAGTGTAGACTGAGATGGCCCAATATGTCTCCCTCCCCCGTCTTCAGTGTAAACTGAGATGGTCCAATATGTCTTGCTCCCCCGTCTACAGTGTAGACTGAGACGCCCAACATGTCACCCTCCCATTTGCCCAAGGCTTCCCTGGATAATTCAGGTGGAAACCTTCCTGACGGCGAACCACACCTCTCGCGTAAATGTGTGCACTATCTTACATCATTTCATCAAGGGATTCATTGGATTGTTTTTAAGGTAAACACATGACTCACTCCAGTCTAATACATGATGTCAACCCTCTCTAAGCCGTCTCGTACACACGGTTAACGTTGTTATTTTAGAGATGAAGCAAGTCCGTGTGTTTTACTACAGATATTTACATTTCGATAGCTCATAACGGGATATGAATACCCGTGTCAGTAATAATGTCCATTAGAATTCTGTCTTGGTTTCCTGTAACGATCTTGTCATAAGTTTAAGCAGTTTGACAAATATGCATTGCGTTTGTTGCCATGGCATCGATTTTTCCGCTGTATCATATACATCCACGCGAACAATAGACATCACTCCAGAAGTTGACTTACAAACGGTTGTCATTTAAATGTCATCAACGAAAACACTGACAGGCAGGATTGGGGATTTATGTTTAATGAGAAAGGGTGTTTATTCGCTTGGCTTCTGTTGTCTGATTGATGGTGATTATGGTGGTGATGATGATCATGGGGAACCATCATCGTTCGGTAGTGTACAACAGGTTTTG